GTCGTGGAGATTCCACGACTATGGTGCTGTTCGCACCTACTCCTAGGTTGAGGGACTGATTACGTCATCTTCTGTACATAGTTCTACTGTCTTCAAGTTATGTCCTAGAATTTGTATTGATAAAGCCACTGGATGGCGAAACGTCTACAATAAAGATACCCAGATGTTGCACATGGGTCCTGGTCTTGCAGGAGATTTATATTGAAGTCACCTGAGAGTAGTAAGTGATCTTTGCTCATGTGTGCATCAGTTATCATACTTCCTAGGTTGTCACTAAAATGGCTAAAGTTTGACTGTTGTACTCTGTAGATGTTTATCACTGTGAGAGGTTTTTGTAGGTATTTGGATTTGAATTTAGCTATTATATATTCCCCATGTTTATCCCTTGTGCAAGTATTTGTGATACATTCTAGTTGGTCTGAGTAGTATATAGCTGTGCCACCCCCTTGTTGATCTGGTCTACAGTTGTGTATGGCTGTGTAACCAGGAATGGCATAGACATCTGTAGTAGCAGACTTTAGCCAGGTTTCGGTGAGAGTAATGATGGATATACAGTGGAGCCCCGCATAACGATCACCTCCGAATGCGACCAATTATGTAAGTGTATTTATGTAAGTGCGTTTGTACGTGTATGTTTGGGGGTCTGAAATGGACTAATTACTTCACAATATTCCTTATGGGAACAAATTCGGTCAGTACTGGCACCTGAACATACTTCTGGATTGAAAAAATATCGTTAACCGGGGGTCCACTGTACTGGAATGCAGGGAATTTAGTAATGCTATGAGGTCATCGTAATGTTTACTTAAAGATCTGATATTGTAGTTAAAGACAGTTATGTTTTTGTTGGCTCTGAGAAGTGCATTTGATTGTTCTGCTGTGTAGTAATTACAGTTACTGTTTGATTCATTTAAGTCATTCAATAAGAGGTTGGTATCAGGATCAATGCTTATCATAAGATTTATAGTGAATCTATAGTTAGAATTAAGTATAAGACAAAGTAAATATTCTAAAACTATAAAATAGCACCTGAGTTATTTTAGCAAATGTAAAAAATTTGATCTAAGGTAGTTCTTTAAAGCTAAAATAAAGGAGACAGTATATAAGGGATGAAAAAAGAAACTTTGTGGTGAACAAATAAAGTGGTAATCAAATAAATGAGCTAGGGAATATAATGGCAAAAATAGTGAATTTATTACACTTTAGCACCTGAGAATAGCACCTTGATTACTTTAACAATTGTGAATATATGAACTAAGGTTGTTATGTAAAGCTATATTAAAGCTAAAATAAAGGAGAAAAAATATAGGGACTAAATTAAATAATGGTAAACAAAGTTAAATTGGCAGATAATAACTAAGATATGATATAGATTTGGGAGTAAGATCTGATTTGTTATATATAATAAGTATGCAGTACAAAGTAATTAAACTTCTGTTGTATTGCTACATATACATTTATTGTGTTAATTTTTTTTTTTTTTTTTTTTTTTTTTTTTTTTTTTTTTTTTTTTTTTTTTTTTTTTTTTTTTTTTTTTTTTTTTTTTTTTTTTTTTTTTTACTATTTTGTCCTTGAAAATTATATCCCAGCTATAAGTCAAGGGTATGTTCTGAGCTTTTTTTTTTTTTCTCTAAGAGAAAGGTTGCCTTAGGGATGAAAATTTATAGTAGAGTACAGTACTTTAATGTAATAGGGTAGAACTGTTTTTGGCACAATTGAATTTGACTAAGTTGCAAATGCTCCACAGAGAGATGGAATTAAGACCAGACATGAGAGAACGGGATTGCAGTGTGAGAGGTTCAATGAGAGCTGCAGAAGCAGGGCCATGACTAAAATGTGAAGAGTGCAAAGTGGAACTCGTAGTGGTGATCTGGGAGAAGATTGCAACATTCAAGGTGCTTAAGAACCTTTTCATTTAGAATACATAATCAGATTTGAGGTAGTAGAGTTGAAGGCTATAGACTGATCAGGCCACAGATTTAATGCTTTCCATAAATGTAATAATAATAATAATAATAATAAAGAATGATTGGAGTGGCCACTTCTGTTCAGGAAAGGATAAAGCAGAGTATGTGGAAGAAAAGGGAAATATTTTAGAGGCCACACAGGGATAAAACAGGCAAAGTACTGTACAGTATAAGCTCAAGCATACCCCATTAGCGCATATATTTTTTGTTCTTTAATCCCGTTGAAACATTGTGAACCAATTGCTTTATGATTGAAAAGTTAGGCATAAGTTGATAAGAGGAGAAACAGAGGAGAAAGGAAGGCTAGTATCATTAGAGTTAGAAGAAAAAGAATACTGGAGAGTTTCACTTTGTCAAGAGAATGAGACCACTGTAGAGCTAATAGAATGGATTACAAGAGAAAATGATTGATGGAAATTGTACAAAATATTTTTAAGAGACTTAGGGAACACTCAGAGTTAAGATATGATATTTTGCCAAACTTCTTTATTTTTAGTTAGTTATGCCTAGAGATATAATAGCAAACTTAGCCTGATTTTTTATAAAGAATTATAAAAAATGACTAGTTGCTGAAGGAAATTACTATCAAGATCTACTGTCTTCAAATCTGCTGCTGAATTTGTATGGAAGATGGCCTATCAGATCATGGTTTAGAAGTGGAAAAGGAGAATGAAAAGGGAAATGAAATATAAGCTTTTATGTCAGCAATTTGTGACTTTCTTACTATACATGAATGTTCTTCTTTATTTCAACACATCGACCATGTCCCACCAGCATTTTAGCCACCTCTTACGACATGCATGGCTTATGGAGGAAGAATTCTATTCCACTTCCCCATGGAGATAAGAGGAAATAAACCAGAACAAGAACTAGTAAGAAAATAGAAGAAAACACAGAGGAGTGTGTGTGTATATATATGCTTGTATATGCAAGTGTAGTGTGACCTAAGTGTAAGTAGAAGTAGCAAGACGTACCTGAAATCTTGCATGTTTATGAGAGAAAAAAGACACCAGCAGTCCTACCATTATGTAAAACAATTACAGGCTTTCGTTTTACACTCACTTGGCAGGACGGTAGTACCTCCCTGGGTGGTTGCTGTCTACCAACCTACTACATATATAAGAATTTTGGTGGTGGCTGCCACAACCTGGCCAGTACAACTTTGTGTGAACATTATTGCATATATGGTATAAAATGTTTATTCTTTTAATATCACCATATGCCCTAAATAAATCTCAAGACAAGCTAAATTTTCCTCTGGACAACCCTTGGGATTTCATAAAATTATGTTCACATACCTTTGATGAGTTCTGTTAGTTTTTCTGCTCCCAGAGTCCAGCCTTGATCCAGGCTTGTCATTTTGCTTGGTCAGCCAGGTTGGTCCTACTGGTGACCTGCTAACCCACATATCCATCACATTTAGTTTTGACACATGTAAGACAGAACAAGCAGGAAGAAAAGGAGAAATATTGGCATGGAAAGTCATTGAGCTGATTCTGAATTTAATCCTGTAGTTACTGTGTAAGGTAGGTGTCATGACTGAATCTCGAGGATTAGGAAATCCACAAATTCAGGGGTTGAACTGTACACTAATTTCTACTAATGACTGTACAGGGTTTGTCATATTCTCTGTTGCATAATTTTTTTATTTTTGACAAACTGGCCATCTCCCACCGAGATAGGGTGACCCAAAAAAAGAAATACTTTCACCATCATTCACACTATCATTGTCTTACCAGAGGCATGCATATAATACATATATATAGTATTGTATATAGTAAATGGGTATATTTTTTAATGTATTAATAGCAATTACATATTCACATGTGGGAAATTTTAATGCTTCGCATACTTCGGACATGTCATATCTTTGTCTTGTGTTCTGTTATTGGAAATTTTCTCTGTATCTCCTTCCAGCAGGCGACATCTTATTGTGCTAGCATCCTCTAGCATTAATTTTATAGCCAAATTGGTTCATTTAGGTACTGTATACATACATGTTCTTCTGGTGAGTTATGGCCTGATTAAATACTTGCTAACATAACAAATAATGCCATACAAAATCTCAGTACTGTAGGAATATTAGAGAGGATACATGTGTATATACAGATTATAATGCAGTACTTACTTTAAGCTACAGGAACATCTTTGAAATTATTGTCTCTCTGCCTTCAGATCATACACCTTTGTTCTTCCAATATTAATTCCTTTGTCTAGTTAATTTAATACATCTACTGTACTTTCTCCATATTTAACATATTAAGTTTGTGTTTCACTCCAGTATGAGAAGGTGAAAGTAATGACTGCAACTGTAGGTGGGCCTACACTTTCAGCATTTAACTCTTGTTTGTATAGTTTTATACCAATTTACAGTATTGTTAATCACTATCACCCACAGTATTGTTAATCACTATCACCCACAGTATTGTTAATCACTATCACCCACAGTATTGTTAATCACTATCACCCACAGTATTGTTAATCACTATCACCCACAGTATTATTAATCACTATCACCCACAGTATTGTTAATCACTATCACCCACAGTATTGTTAATCACTGTCACCCACAATATTGTTTATCACTATCACCTACAGTATTGTTAATCACTATCACCTACAGTACTGTTAATCACTATCACCCACAGTATTGTTAATCACTATCACCCACAGTATTGTTAATCACTATCACCCACAATATTGTTAATCACTATCACCCATAATATTGTTAATCACTATCACCCACAGTATTGTTAATCACTATCACCTACAGTATTGTTAATCACTATCACCTACAGTATTGTTAATCACTGCCACCCACAGCCTCAAATGGTAAAAGATTACTATCCCAATTTTGCCCTGTATTTCTGAGGTCTAGTAAATCAAGGGTATACTATCTAGATTTTAGCTTCTTTGAGGAAAGTTATGATAATGCCCATCTCTGTACAAACATCATATAATGTCAAAATAAAGAATCTGAATCTGAATACAGTGTCAGCAAAGTATACTAGTATTGTTTTGTTATTTTTTCAGAGCATGGTACTACTGCAAAGCCTGTCATGATGATATCAAAGATGAGACTCTTATCAAGAAGTGCAAGTGTAAGAACTGTAAGTATAATTGACTTTGTTGCAATTATGCAATTGTTCCATCTTTTGCAATAACTTGTATAAAATTAGTGTTTTGTAATCCATACAGTAACTGGTACTTACATGTGTATTGTTTATGATAATGCCCTTGAATTAAATGGGCAAATTTATTGTATATGTATTTGTGGTTGTTATGAATGGTTGGTGTGGAACTCAGAGAAAACAAGATAATACTTTGAAAAAATTAATCATTGGAGATATCAATGGTAGTGTTATGATTGAACCTAGTGCCAATTTTAATATCCACCACAAAAAACTAATCACCACTCATCTCATTATAAGTTCCATTTCACTGAAATTAGATGCTATACTAATTGTTAATGACATGTATTTACTTTCCCTTGAAGAACAGGGTTAAACATTTTAGCAGCATTATGACCTTATTTTATGTACAGTATTGTTTGATCATATATTTTGTTCTCTGTGTTATCTCATTAAATCTTAAAATTTGAATGGCTAAAAGGAACATTGACTCAGTTGAATATTCAGCAATGCCAAAGGTAATTTTGCACCTCAGATGCCCACTATTGTGTTCTAAATTGTCAACTGTTGTATTCTAAATTGTCCACTATAGTAAGTTGAACTGGAATAAAAGGAATCTTGAAACTATATTCCACTGTTGAAATTTCAGTTGAGTCATTTTCACATTTAAATGTTTTTGAGTTTTTTAAAGCCTATTTTAAAAGACCAAAAACCTGTTTCCCTTTAAAGAGATGCATCTTCACCCTTGATGCCTTCTGATATGAATAACATTGGCAAGGGAATTTCAAACATTTGAAGTTTTTTCTTCTTTCCTTGCCTTCTTATATATAAAGTTATAAAACTTCAAGGATTCACAGTAGCATGTTTTTCCAGATGTTAAAGTAGCTATAAATTATCCTTATTCAATACAAAATTGCTACTTGTGTTTACAATTCTATTGTCATATTGGTTAATGCAGTATTTACAGCAGAAACAGCATGCCTATGAATAACTATTAAGTGTTTGGTATCTCTGCTGGAATACAGTGAAACCTCCTTATTTGCTACATATTTATTCGCTTGATTCAGTCTCTTCGTAAGGGGGATATGCAAATGTTTTGGTTTCCATCAGTTGCAAATCCAGGGTCATGACCCCTCTGATGAAACATTTTAGCCATAAACTGTTCAGTATATATATATTACAAGTGAGTAACATTGAGCATTGCTTTTCATGTGAGATTTGAACAGTTATTTTCATATGAAATATTCAATTTGGAATATCAGTATACATTACAGTCAAGAATTTACCAGCTAGGGATACCCCAATTTTACTCTCATAGGCTATTTTATTGAAATCTGTAGACCCGTACTACTTACTATTCAACATCAGTAGTATTATTACAATAGTTTACTGGATTTAGAATGTGTTGCAGTCATAATAAAGTTGGATATACTACAAAAATATACCTACACATTTACCATTGACAGTGAGGATTTGGAGACAGTAAGTGAGACAAACAGGCAGTGAGGATGAGAGACAATGGGAGACATAGAGAGACAGTGAGGGAGAGATAGAGAAACAGTAAGGGAAAAATAGTGGCAGTGAGCATGGGAGGCAGTAAGGAAGAAGCAAATAGCATATATTGTAAATGGTGTGCCCAATCATATGATAACCAAGTCCCTCCCTTCCTCATGTCATTAAGCACAACATTATCATCCTCTCATGCATAGATAATAAATAAAGTTGTAAATACAGTAGGAGATATATGGTGGGGTGGTGGTAAATATATGTTAAAATATATTTTGGCAGTGTTTGAACTTAAGCTGCTGGCCCTGACTTCATCTTGCATGACAGTTCCTCTGCCCAATACATTGCCTTCCTGAGGCCTGCCCAGTGTAGCCCTGCTCCTTCCAGTTATCAGATTGCAACAGAAATTGCTCTAATTTGGGGAAAGGGATATACAATTTTGGATAAAATTTGACATTGCAATGAGTTTTTATGTAGGGTATATATGTGTACATTTTTTACTTCATTGGCCATCTACCACCAAGGTAACACATGAATGTCATTCACTCAATCACTGTCTTGCTAAAGTATGCTGACATCCCACCTTCAGAACTGAAGTTCGGCTAACCATTTTCTCTGAATCCCTTCATAAATGTTACCCTCTTCACACTTTAGCAGTCATTAAAACCACTTGTCTCCATTCACTCCTATCTAACACACACAAGCCTGCTGGATGCTCAAGCCCTTAGTACTCAAAGCATCCTTTACTCCCTCCCACCTACTACCATTACTGGGGTAACCTGTACCCCTTATGCTTTTCACCCCAGATTTATACACCCTCTTCATTGTCCTATCTCTCCCCATCCACTTTCAGCACCCAAACACCTCAACAGTTTCTCCTGAACCTTCTGAATCATGCTCATTTTTGGCCCTACACCATCTTTTAATTTCTAAACTCCGAATTCTTTGCATAATGTTTACACCAATTGCTCTCAGATATGATATCTCTACTGCACTCTTTCCACTTTCTTGCTGCAAACTTCAAAACCCATGCCTCCCACTCATTTAAAAGTGTTGATACCACTATACACTAGTATATTCTCTTTTTTAGTACTCCCTAGATTTAATTTTTTTTACAAATGTCTCATTAACCCTTTGAGGGTCGACAGGCCCTCTCCGAAACTCGTTCTCAGGGTCGGCCAAATTTAAAAAAAAAAAAAAAATTATTTTCTCTTATGAAAAGATAGAGAATCTTTTCCCGATCATAACGACACCAAAAGTTTGAAATTTGATAGAAAACTTACGGAATTATGCTCTCGCAAAGTTAGCGGTCTCGGCGATGTTTACGGATCAGCGATTTTGCCCGCTTTGAGCCCCATTTTCGGCCAATTTCACTGTACTAGTCGACAAAAAACATGAATATTTCGCTAGAACTCCATTTTTTCTATCGAATGGGTGCAAGAAACCACCCATTTATAAATTCAACTATCCAGTACAGTGGTCAGAATTTAGCAATTTTGCCAATTTCACACAAATTTCAAAAGATGCCAATTTCGGAATAGGGTCCAGAATAAACAAGAAAGACATTCCTGCACTAAAATGACATTTCCTCTAGTCATTAGTCACGTCTCAAGGCCCCTCTTATATTCTTTTGCTTTCCCACTTTGAATTTTTATTCTCACAAAAAATTTAAGATTTACTGTTATGCAGACTACTGCATTAGTGTAAAAAATGGTATAAATATTATTGGTGCACTTGTGAAAGAATATTAGACTCACCAGTTGACGTGTATTGCACGCTTGGCACGATTTGTTTACTTTTGAAGTTTGGTAAAAATCGAACATTTCTGCTACTTTGAGCTCAATTTCAAGGCACCTTTCATTGTAAAACCAGTCAAAATCATCTCAATTTCAGTAATATGTCTTCCATTCTATAAAATGAGACCAAGAAAACTAGAATACAACAATAAATACTATACGAAAATACACTGCAAAGTCGCTGATTTATTAAAAAAAAATGGAAAAAGTTTTTTTTTTCTCATTATGCACCGTTTGCTGCAGGATTTTTTTTAGACTGTGCACACTGACCACATAGACCCATTCTTTCATATGAAGGCCTACCAGCTTTCTCCCACTAGATTTGAGGTCGCTAGAATTTATGAGTACTAGTACGTCAAAAACCCCTACGCGTAAGACGTACTAGTACGACGAAAACCCTCAAAGGGTTAACTGCATAAAACTTTACTTCTCTTAATATCCTCGTACACATTCCAGGCATTTGTAACATTTACCACATTTCTTCCCTATCCACCTTATTTTTTCCTTTTTCTAAATCCATAAATGCATCAGTTATCTAAGAAGTATGTACTTTTATATGCCAATGTAAATACTTGGTCTACACATCCCTTACCCTTTTTAAATCCTACTTCCTCTGAAATTGTACTCTTTCTTACCCCAAGCTCTTTCAGTAAATCTACCATACACCTTACTCACTGATCTTTTTTTTTTCTTTTTTTTTTTTCAACAAGTTGGCCGTCTCCCACCGAGGCAGGGTGACCCAAAAAAGAAAGAAAATTCCCAAAAAAAGAAAATACTTTCATCATCATTCAACACTTTCACCACACTCACACATTATCACTGCTTTTGCAGAGGTGCTCAGAATACAACAGTTTAGAAGCATATACGTATGAAGATACACAACATATCCCTCCAAACTGCCAATATCCCAAACCCCTCCTTTAAAGTGTAGGCATTGTACTTCCCATTTCCAGGACTCAAGTCCGACTATATGAAAATAACCGGTTTCCCTGAATCCCTTCACTAAATATTACCCTGCTCACACTCCAACAGATCGTCAGGTCCCAAGTACCATTCGTCTCCATTCACTCCTATCTAACACGCTCACGCACGCTTGCTGGAAGTCCAAGCCCCTTGCCCACAAAACCTCCTTTACCCCTTCTCTCCAACCCTTTCAAGGACGACCCTTACCCCGCCTTCCTTCCCCTATAGATTTATATGCTTTCCATGTCATTCTACTTTGATCCATTCTCTCTAAATGACCAAACCACCTCAACAACCCCTCTTCTGCCCTCTGACTAATACTTTTATTAACTCCCACACCTTCTCCTAATTTCCACACTCCGAATTTTCTGCATAATATTTACACCACACATTGCCCTTAGACAGGACATCTCCACTGCCTCCAACCGTCTCCTTGCTGCTGCATTTACCACCCAAGCTTCACATCCATATAAGAGTGTTGGTACTATTATACTTTCATACATTCCCTTCTTTGCCTCCATAGATAACGTTTTTTGACTCCACATATACCTCAACGCACCACTCACCTTTTTTTCCTCATCAATTCTATGATTAACCTCATCCTTCATAAATCCATCCGCCGACACGTCAACTCCCAAGTATCTGAAAACATTCACTTCTTCCATACTCCTCCTCCCCAATTTGATATCCAATTTTTTCTTTATCTAAATCATT